CGATTGTCAACTGTTGCTGTCGCTGGAATATTCATCCATGGTAAGAGGATGCTGAGACCCATAGAGCCATAGACATTCCATATTATAATCTCTACTAGCGACCCTCACCGGCTTCGCCTGGATGGAATCTATTAATATGGCGTTGTAAGATAGATAAAGACAATTTATTTAAGCAACTTTTAAAACTTCAAGTTCTTTTTTTTTAACTTCAAGTCAAAATATTCCCAGATCCTTCCTGGCATTGCCCTCTCTGTCCGTTCGTAAAATTTTATCACAATCGGTTCCGCCATTCTGAAGATTAGCCCGGACAGACAGACAGACATAAGTGCAAAATTTTTTAAAATAATTATTTATGTCTTAATTGGATGCAAATAACCTCCTGAGCTTAATAGAAGCCAGTTATTTCAATATTACAGACAGACACTTCTATAGATATAAATAAAATTAAAAAAAAAATTAAGAATCAATTACAAAAGAGACGCGTAATATGTACTTGTAGGAAGTATAGTGGGTATAGTACAGCGACTAATTTTGTAGTTAGGAATAATAATTAATTCGTTTACACGAATTAATTATCCAACGAGTCGAGGATAAACTAGTAGCGCAATACGACAAGCGCACCGTTCCACGTCAGAGCCAAGACTGTCTTAACGACGGCCGCTCCGTCCGTTTTATACAAGCAGGACGGGTGGCAACGCAGGTGCAATGCCGCAGGGGTGCGGTACACGTGTCGTTTACAAGAATTCTGTCTAGCTAGACTGACGCCACCGCACCTACAACGGTGCAGGTGCCGTCATACTCATTCTGCATGAACCGATGAAATATTATGCCACATGGTGTTTTGTAAAAAATAAAATGTACTATCTGTATATTTATGTAGTTCGTAAGTTTTACCGATTGTAAATATTTACTTATCACGGTGGATTCAAATAAAATATTTTAAATTACTACTTACGGTGAACAGCACAAAATATTTCTGATTGTTCTCTCCCACGCAATTGTTGACCCAGGGGCAATGGTGATCCATTTTTCTTATACATCGCTGGCAAACAGAGCAGTGGTGGGCTCGCTCCGGCTTTATGCTGCAGCATTTTGTGCACTTAAAAATCACTTGCCCCTCGCGGAAACTCATTTGCTTTATCATCTCCTTCGTTGCGTTTCCTTTTGGTACTGCGCCCTGTTGGAAAGAACCACCAATAAATGTGTTAAACAAACGAGCCAACACAAGGAAACTGAAGCAACTGTTCCTGATAACAATTCAAAATTATATAAACTTTCGGGGGCCTACCCGCCTACCAAGGGTGGCAACTATGGCAAAATCCTGCCTATGAAGCAATCTATGGTTAGGTCTATGTTCAGCAGTGGATTTTAATAGGCTGTAATCGATGGATGGATGGATGAAATTAGATCTAAAAAATTAAAACAAGAGATTAAAAATTTTACCTAAACGCTGACTTAGGCTATTGACAGTGTAATAATTCATTGGCAGATAAAATCATCTATTTATACAATATGTAACAAAAACCCTGAGGTTCCCGTTAAGTACCTTACATACAGTACATTACATTTTTGTTACATATTGTATAAATAAAACAAAACAAAATACACGTCACCCAAATACATTACCGTTAAACCATTACTGCCTATTAAAGTCCCTGCTGAACATAGGCCTCCCCAAAAGATCGCCTCACAGGCATGTTTTCTATAGTTGCCACGCTAGTTACCAAGACGCTGCTGCCCATCTCCTGATTTTTTTCCCTCTGTCGCTTCTTACGACACCCATGGGATGATATGGGGTAGTAGATATTCTTACACCGCCACTACACGGTAATAATTAACACATAACAACATCATCATCATCATCAAAGCCCTTTCACAAGTCCACTGTTTAACATATGGTCTCTTCCAAAGCACGATCCTGGGCCACCTGCATTAATCAACTTCCCGCAGGTCTTACCAGGTCGCCTCTCTATGAGGTCTCTTCTTCTTCTTCTTCTTTGCATTTTGGCATCTCTTAAAAGAATTCTGCCAATGTCAAGTCAGTATGAGGTCTCTTCGGTTTTCTGTATAGTTCCCCAAAGGATATGTATACATAGGCTGCACTAAAAGTATCGGAAATGGAATATTTCCACTGTTCCTGTCATATTAATCTTTTTTAATTGAAAACTCCTTGGTTTTAAAAATCGAATACCATTTATTTATTTCAAAAAAGATTCTCGGTCTTGTCACAAGGTTTTGTCAAACTTCTTTAGTCGTTGAGAAAATGGAATTAACTCGAGAAAATTCGAGAGCGATGATTTATTATGATTTTCGAAGTGGTTTAACACACAAACAGTGTGTTGACCGGATGATTTCTGCATTTGGTGATGAAGCCCCATCCAAAACCACAATTTATCGCTGGTTTGCTGAATTTCAACGTGGACGTGTCAAGCTCAGTGATGATCCCCGTCAAGGTCGTCCAAAAACTGCAGTCACCCAAGAAAACGTTGATGCTGTGCGTAAGCTGATTGAGGAAGATCGACATGTGACATACCGCGAAATTCAGGCAACTTTAGATATTGACATGAGTCAAATACAAATAATCTTACGTGAACAATTAGGTGTAAAAAAGTTGTTTTCCCGATGGATACCGCATTCTCTCTGTGAAGAGCAAAAAGCGGCTCGCGTTACTTGGTGCGTCAGAACTCTCGAAAGATTCCAAGCAGGATCCTCAAATGATGTATACAACATCATATCAGGCGACGAATCCTGGATATACGCGTACGAACCCGAAACAAAAAACCAGTCACGCGTTTGGATGTTCGAAAATGAGTTAAAGCCAACAAAAATTGTTCGTTCACGGAGTGTTGCAAAAAAAATGGTGGCCACGTTTGTCTTCAAAACCGGCCATGTTACGACTATTCCTCTTGAGGGACAAAGACCGGTTAATGCAGAATGGTATGCTAGCATTTGTTTGCCACAGGTCGTTTCTGAACTCCGTAAAGAGAACTGCAACCGCCGCATCATCCTCCATCACGACAATGCGAGTTCTCACACCGCACACAGAACAAAAGTTTTTAGAGCAAGAAAACATAGAATTATTAGACCATCCGCCGTACAGCCCCGACCTAAGCCCTAATGATTTCTATACTTTCCCTAAAATAAAGAATAAATTGCGTGGACAGAGATTTTCATCACCTGAAGAAGCTGTGGACGCCTACAAAACGGCCATTTTGGAGACCCCAACTTCCGAATGGAATGGTTGCTTCAATGATTGGTTCCATCGTATGGAAAAATGTGTCAAATTTCGCGGAGAATACTTCGAAAAGCAATAAATACATTTTTAAATAGTAATGTTGTGTCACTTCCTTGATTCCCGAAATTTTCAGTGCCGCCCTCGTATGAACTACGGTAGTAAAGCCTTTTAGGAAACGTGAAAGTCTCTCGAGAGAAGTTCTTCAGTAGAGTGTTGTTGCTTTTCGAGAAGAACAAGACCACACATATAACAAAATAATAACCGTATGACAAAATATCAATCATGAATGTTCTTTGTCGGTCTCATTAACCCATTTATATGTACGAAAGGGACGGCTCGACTGGAGAAGGACCACGCTCTCACAGAATACCAGCGTGAAATAGCAGCTTAATACTGCTGAGTTTCGTTTGATGAGTGGAGAGAACCAGATACTCTTTTTACTAATTCCATCATATTCCTCAGGGATGACAATGTATCTTCATTTTGATTCTTAATCAAAGATAGATGTATGTATATGAGGTACAGCATCCACTTACGTGAGGTACACCGTGAGACACACCATTGGCGACAATGGTGTGTCTTTCATAGTGTAGTGGTGTTGGGAGTAGCGGTGACGGGGATAGTGTACGCAATTGAGGGAGGGCGGGAGGTGCTCTCAAACTAGGTAAGACACATCATTTTATTTTATCGAGCGAATGTACGCGAAGTAACTTTTTAATAACTTTAATATAATGGATTTCCGCAAAATAACGCCTGATTCTATTAATTATGCTATACTCAAAAATAAAACTATATGTAAACGAATACATTTACAGCTTATCTTTTTTATTTGTTCAAGCCATTTTCGAAAACATACGGATCATGTTTGGACTGAGGGCATATTTTTCACATGCTGGTGTAAGCTATCAGGCCCCTTCTGGTTCTGCAAATTTAAAACCTCTCATGAAATCTTAGCTTTTTGGAAAAAAGAAGTGTGCAGGATGGGTAACGAGCTATACCAAATGATGGAGTTCGTTCGCATCCTATTACGGCATGACAACAATGCGCCAAAGCATTGTTGTCATGCTGCAGTAGGATGCGTCTTCTTAGTCATTTCTTCCTAACTTTTTCAAAGACACTGAGCAAACAAATGGTGTAGTACCACTCAGTATTAACTGTATTTTGCTCATAAAGTGGGATTGCACAGACAGGACCAGTCTGGTGAATTCAGAGCAGAAGCATCAGTAACAAAGTTCTATAATTTTTAAATGTTAACGTACTTTTTTTTAAAATAGCTCATAGCAACACCCAAATGTCCATCACCTCAGTGAGGACAGTTGAGAGTCAACCATCACGAATTTAAATATAGAGAGAAACACGGCCACGATCAAACTTTACGTACGCCTTACGGTGCGAGTGAATATTTCAAATCATAAATGATGAATGATGATGACGACTTCCCACCAGAAATTATTTAATCAATGTTTAAGTTTTTCTTTTTGTTTAAAAAAAAACATTCGAAATTCAACCATTTATAAGCCAGGAGCGCAGTACTTTCACGTATGCTCTATGTACCATCAAGTAGGCTGTGTGCTTGTCGGTTACCCCTCTATAAAAAAAATTATATTTTGGCATAACTTTTGAAGTTATTTCTTGCTTAAAACTAAACTAAAAAAACTAAAATGGATGAATTATAATATATGTTGGTTTAGTGCCAAAAAATCACGAAATCTGGGCCCGACAGGTGGCAGTGTGGTCGAATTTCCTTTTTTTCTTTATTTTTTTTAATATTCACACTTAAGTCTGGGATGAATTTGGAGTAAAACTCAACATGCAATCTATTGGCAGAGCAGAACAATGTCTGCGGGCCAGCTAACATACCATCGTTATAACTTCCAAAATGAAGATGAAAGGAAAACGAGACTACAACCAGTGCGTGTTGCCAGTGATGACTTATGGATCTGAGACTGGTCCTTCACAGCTGGCCGCATGAGGAAGCTCAAGGTCGCTCAGCGAGTATGCGAAGCTTTGTGCCCTGTGGATACCTCATAATTTGAGAGAAGCCTAAAAACTCCGTCGTGTTGATTGGTGTCGTGAAATGAATGGTTCAAAGATTTAACGGAAGTGACTCAAATGCTGTGTTCGACACACGGTTGACGAAAGCTGGAGTTATTGTTATGATCCTGAAACTAAGAGACAGTCTGCCGTCTGGGTGTTTCGTTCCGAGGAGTTGCCAACTAAAGTGAAGAGAGGTCGAAGCATGGAAAAAAAGATGGTGGCCTCGTTCTTCGGAAGGACAGGTCATTACGCAACAATTGTTATAGAGGATCCGAAAACAGTTACTGCACAGTGGTACACTAACAATTGTTTGCCACTTGTCTTGAAAAAAGTTCGGGAGAAACTCCCTCGCAGTACGTTCCTCCTTCACCACGATAAAGCCTCGTCGCACACCGCCAAGCAAACAATCGACTACTTGGCGACGTCAGACGTGGAATTACTGTCACCCGCCCTATAGCCCCGACCGAACCTTGCGATTTTTTTATTTATTTCCGAAAATAAAAGAAAAACTTCGGGGAAAACGTTATATGGACACCGAGGAAGCAGTGGCTACGATTCAAAATGCCGTCTAAAAGACCCCTAAGGACGAGTGCGCAAAGTGCTTTTCTCAGTGGTTCCATCGGATGCAGCGATGTATCGATGTAAATGGACACTATTTTAAAAAGATATAATAAAACTAATAACTTGATAGTTTGTTCAGTTTTTGATTTCCTAAAAACTTTTAGTGTCCCCTCGTACATGATCTTTGTTTTGTCCATGTTCATCTTAAGACCTATCCGTTGGGAGGCACTATTGAAGTCATTGAGCATAGTCCTCCAGCGATTCAATTGCGACTGTAGCACTGGCGCAATTTCGACGAAATAAAAAGCTTTCTTATATTCCACATAAGCAAGAAAAAGTGGCAGATTGTATTCTTATACAATTTACCGAAGGGTAAGTACATATGTGGTCTATGGTACTAAAGCCTTTTTGGAAACCGGCTTGTTCGGGAGGCTGAAAGTCGTCGAGTCTGTGTGCAAGACGATTAGTAATGACTCTCGAAAACAGCACATAGACGCGGCTCAGAAGGGAAATCGGTCTGTAGTTCTTCAAGAGAGCGTTATCGTCTTTCTTGAAGAACAAGACCACCGCACTTTTGCTCCATGCCTCCAGAGTAGTGCCACCATGGAGGACGGAATTAAAGAGCTTCTGAAGGACTTCAAGCATACTGGTTTTCCACAAGATTTCAGAAGCTCTGCTGTAATTCCATCCTCACCTGGGACCTTTTTAAAGTGTTGGAGAGCCATTCTACTCTCGCTCAAACTGACGTCCAGGATATCATCGGAATAGTGTCGGATAATACTTGGTATTAGGATCGTTACTCACACTTGCGTGTGACCCCAACGATGATGTGTAGCTGCCCATAGAACCTCTATCTTACTCAAAGTGTAAGGTATCCCGGAAACGATCCTGCCACATTCAGTCTTCAGCTTCGACAGTTGACTCTTTCTGGCAGACAGAACTCTGGCAAAGACTTTGCAGCCCTGGTTCTGCTTGATCGCTTCTTCAATACGAGCTGTATGGAAGTTGCGTAAATCCCGCCGCTTGCATTTGTTGATCTGTCTATTCAATTGCCTGTATGCTATGAAATCTGTTGAAGACTGCAGCTTCATTTCCCGTCTAATAGCCATGAGATTAAGAGTGATCGGAGAGGTTTTGCGTACTTCTGCGACAGGTCTTGCAGAAGTTAGCTCCGACCGTATGTACAGCTTCCATGAGTTTGTCATTCATATTGTCCACTGCAATGCAGTACTTCTAGGCACTGAAAACGGTTTTGTAACGCGAGCTGAAAGTTTTCGGGGCATTAGATTAAGGGATGAGGGGGACGGAGTGTTGACTTCATTAGACGTGACCTCTCCAACTTAACGTTGAGGTTCAGTGTGCCTCTCACCATACGGTGATCGCTACCAATTTACGTCCTCGCGATCACTTAGACATTACTGAACTTTCTTGTGCCTAGTTATGTAGTAAAGTTGAAGTCTCCCATTAACACCATATAGTGAGTTTTGGACGAATGCATAGCTCCAGAGATATATATCCTCATACATTTCCTCCACCTCCTCATTGGGATGGGGCAAGGTTGGTGCGTAAGCCTGTGTGACCTTCAACAAATACTGTTTGGTGATTCTGATTATAAGGTACGCAACCCTGGTCAGGGTCAACCCTCAGGGTACGTGCTTTAAATGTTAACAGGTCTTAGGTGGCAACCGAACCCTCACCAGATATACTTAGCACCCCCTGCCCAGCCGTTATCATGGTCACTATCATAGCCAGACATAGCGGAGCGGCCAGTAACTGGGGGCCGTTTCTTTGCGTCGTTGCTCATAGGGGAATGTTAGCCATAGTTGCCACGATTGGCGAGTGGGATGGCAATCGCAGATTTTTTTTATTTGCAATTTTGCTGTTATCAGAATGATGCTACTAACCATCTTCTACCTTAGTTTCCCTTTGTCGCCTCTTACTACACCCACGGGAATATATGGGGTAGTGGATATTCTTACACTGCCACTACACAGGACAAAATTAATTAATTAAACTATAATTACCATAATTTAAGTATTTAAAATAAAGATAGCAATTATAGACCTGATTACATATCTTGTTATGAACATTTGGAATTAATGAAAAAATAAGTATTTAAAATTTATTTACTTACAGGATCAGTAAACATGGTCCTGAGATGGGAAGCAAATGCTAAGAATGCCAGACTCTGGAACACGAAGATATTTACATAACTGTAGAAAGGATATGTGGATAGCCCTGGCAAGAGCATCACCATCATAACCACAAATTCGGCATACAGTATCAGTAGCCATGTCAAAACCGCACAAATGATGCCACATATGTCCTGAAACAATTGCATTATTAATAAAATATCAGAAAGATTTGAAGTTGAGAAGACTTAATTACATAATCGGGTTACTAATAAATTAAATAGATATATAAAACAAATTTCTTAGCCATGCTTAAACAAAAGTAAAAAAAAAAAGAACTATTCCTGTCACTTCTGTACGAAACATTTTCCATGTGTCCATTCATTTTAATCTCTCTATGTGCTATCATTTTGATCTCTATCTGCAAACTTACGTGTTTTTTTAAAGGATAAGGGTGACAAGCAAGCACAGTCCACCTGATGTTAAGTGGTTGCTGTGGCGCATAGACATCTACATCTATCCTTGTTTGCAAATCAAAATACAGAATCATTGTTAGTTGTGAGGACTAAGATCAAATGCCTCTTTTTCAGTAATAAGGGCCTCCGGTTCTCTACACTCACCATATGAAATACAGCAGCATTTAGCTGCTATTTTACAGTGATATTCTGTGAGATAGTGGTCCTTCCCCAGTCGAGCCGAGCCATTTGTGCTACAACTATACAATTAACATAGCTGCAGCATGGCTCTACCACATTTAAAACATAATGAATACATTTATATATATAATTCATCATGTTGAGGGAGGGAGTATAAGAGAATTTATCACCTCATTTCGTGCAATGAGTGATCGAGGAAGCAACTATGGAAAATGCCAGAAAATCTCTCATTTATGCTAGATATGAGAGTCATTTCATCTTATCTTCAGAGATGATAATGCATCTGTAATATTATTGGTTTGAAGTTGGCTGCAGGCTTTCATGGACTGCAGGAGCCTTTGACTTTTGTTAGTCCCTTCACTTTTGTAAAAAAGTAGAGTTCAAAATTGCCATGCCTAATGCTGCTCACACACATTTTCAAGGAAGTCGCCACAGGATACTCTTTGCTTTGATTAAGTTCTTGAATTATTAAGTTCTATAAAGAACGTATAATGTGAGAAAGTGTCGTCATCATCATCATCATCATTACAGTCCATCAAAGTCCACTGCTGAACATAGTTGTCACAGTCGGCGGGTGGGTTGGTACTTGCAGTATTTTATTTTCTAGTTATTATTAGGAATACACCGCTGCATATTTTCTGCTTTGATTTCCTCTGTCACCTCTTACAACACCCCTGGAACAATATTCTAAAGTGGATATTTTTAAATCTACTACCTGGTAGTTAGGTTAAAATATTATATTGTTTATTGCAACAAAATTTTCTAACAACAATTACTGTACTTACTTTTATGCACCAAGCCTTTCCGCCACAGCACCGATTATGCATGTCACGGTCTGGTCGAGTAAGGACTAGACATTCTGGGTCTATCTGATACTGATTTTCCATTTCATCTTCGTCTGAACTGTCATAGAACTCTCGTATCATTTAGTAAGTTCTTGAGTCTAAAATTGTTGCAAAATACAGTCAACACTATTTCTCTTGTTTAAGAAAATAGATTAATCATACAAATCTTATTTATCTAGTACTAATACAACTAGTTTTTATCCTCTACATCGTCCGCTTAAAACTTAAACAAAAAAAACTACATATTTTTAATAGCAGTTTTTGTTTAGTTCAATTATCGAAACTCTATTTTATACTACGTTTTTTAACCCCTGACGTAAAAAAGGAGTGTTATACACATGTGTATCTGTGTATGTCTGTGACATCGTAGTTGCCAAATTAATGAACGGATTTAGATTTAGTTAGTTTTTGTTTGAATTGTGACTTGCTTGAGTGTTCTTAGATATGATTCAAGAAAATCTTTCCAGCCGTTTGAAGATCATCAGCTCTTTTATTTCGGGAGTTTCTAGAACTTTCAATTTAAGTTATTGTTATTACCTCTAAAATTGTGTATAATATGGGAAAATGTTTAAAATAAAAATAGAAGATCTATTAATTTCACAATAAACGGTTTTATCACCATATCTTTTAACTTTGTTGTGAATAAATGGTGTTAAAGTAAAGAATTATTTTTTAAATTGATTTTTCATCAAAATTTTAAGAGGAAGAAGAGAAAGTGTTGGTTTTGTTTCAATTGGACAAAAATCGTTATTCAAGTCTTAAACACATGCATATACCCTCTGAGTTTAATTGAAGTCAGTTACTTCTTTATAACAGACAGACACTTTAATTTTATTTATATGTGTATACTGTATAGATCAAAATTCGCTAACGCCTATATGTGATTAATTTATAGAGCAACAGCAGGAGAGATTTATTGAAACTATAAAAAATCTTCAAAATTCCAGAAGTGCAGACCTCATGAGCTTTTCCTTTAATTTTGATGAAAAAACTAACTTGTATTCCTAACTTAAATTTATGTGTTTTAAATTTAGCACTATTATTTTAACAAGTAGTGTCACCTACAGGAAAAAAAATCATAATTTTTACCAAAATAAATAGATTACACAAAGTATAAAATTGATATAGGTCGTATGGTACATTTGTCCTTTATATATTAAGGGCTAACAAACATGAAAGCAGCATTAAATTTTTAATAGCAATAAAACTAATAAAAGTTAAAATAATTTTATCAACAACTCACGTACACATACTAGGTTATTGATATGAAATAGCCACCAGTTGATGTAATTCTAAAACTAATAAAAAAAACCCAGTCTCAATATGTAAACTTTTTCAGGATTTATCATGAACACATACAAAATCAACATCTAGACGTCCATGTAAATTTTTTACAAACAATTTTTTTTTCAAAGTAGCAATTTAAAATGATTTTTTAAAAATATAAGATGGGTTAATTACAGTGTTTTCTTGATATTATGATAGAGGTATTTTAAGAACACAAAATTACTTGATCTTGACATGTCGAGAGTAAAGTACTACTTAATATGTAAGAAAAGGCGTGCAATATGGCAATGCATAAATCTCATTACAATGCTGTAGCAAATTTAATAAATCAGAATACTTTCGCATAAGCACAAAATACTAAATATTGTTAAAATTTAACAAATCTTTACCTGTATCAATGCTTTACACACAAGCAAACTAAAAAATTAACTTAAAAAATTAAGCTACAAGTAAGCTAGAGCATTTAAAATTTTGGTACTAATTAACATGCCAGCAAACTAGGGAAATTGGTTTTTGCTTGGTAGAGCCACACAGGAGCTTCATTGTGGCCGTAGAATGAATAGGTTCCTTTTTCCAGGGAAGAACCTTGATCTTACAGAATACTAGACTAAAATAGCAGCATGACACTACTATATTACTTGGTGACTTGCAAGACCAAGAGACCTTATAAAGTGGCAATGAGACATTCCATCTTAGTCGTCGTGGGTGATAATGCATCAGTATTTTGAATTATCATCATCATTAAGTTGAGAGTAGTGTACTATGAGTAGTAGAGTACTATGATAATAGGTATATTGTTTACCATACTTGAAGCAAACAAATAAATAATTTCTTTGGGTTAAATAAGAAATTTCATGCATATTTTCCATTATCAACTTTTACATCATTGTTTTAACAAACAATAGCTTTAATACTATATTATACCGAAATAACACTATTTTAGGCTTTAAGCATAACTATAGCTGCACTTTGTTTACTGTAATGTTTCTAGCTTTATGGAATTAAAATTAAGTTAAGAACTTTTCAATAACACTTCTTTATTTAACCATGATGTAAAACTTTAATCACTGCAAACAATAAAAAATAGATTTTTTTTTGTATTTTAAACTTGGGAAGCCTAATTTACGCACAGCCTTGATTGCACTCTATTATTGTTTTTATATGAAACAGGTTAGGTACCTTTAATAACTCAAATAAATACACATTAAAACTTTAAAATGTAAAGAAATCACTGTAAAAGCAAACATATTTTAAGTATTTCATTATTAGAGAATCTTTTTTAAACAATAAATTTTATCTTATACATAAAACGCACAAATGTTAAGACATTGTTATACCCACCTGAGGAATTCTTAGAAAATTTAGGTAGCCAACCTAATCTGAGGGTCAGGGTCGCGATGAAACAAAGCGTTTTGCAAATACCATATTAACGCTATTTAATACTATGAGATATGCTCATCTCCTAAAACTACGTTGAAGTAAATTAACTATTTATATTTAACACAGTTTTCATATCAAACTTATTCATTCAAAATCAATAAAATCATACGAAGTCCCTCCTCCCACAGAGTACATTAAAAATTAAATTAAATCGGCTCGCTGCTCGCTATCAAAGAGAATATAATCACTACGTTTACTCGATATCTCTCCTAGGGATGCCGATAATCGATAGATCGAAGAAAAATTATTGATATCAAAATCAATAAAAATAATTATCTGTGAAATTTTGCGGATAAAATGAACCAGTCTCAACCCAACACAATTTTCTTATCTGCTGGTATTATTAGCCTCACCGTCAAATATTGCATAAAAATTAAAATATTGCACTAGCTGGCTTTCGAGGCATAATGGCTAAGCGGCATCATATTAGTCCGTGGCTTAGGCTTAGAGTATTTATAACACAGACTAATATCATGATTTATAAAAAAGCTATAGAGCACGCGTTAGCGGGTCAGAACAGTAGGCACGGATGTGAACAGTCGCGTAATGGCGATAATGGCAAGGGCAACGTAATTAATCACGAAAGGTCACGCGTGTAAATTATTTTTTTGAAATTTTTTATTGAATTTTAAGTTAACATGGTGAAATGTGCAGTGCTGAGCGGCAAAAAGGATTCACGGAAGGAAACTAAGAGAACAATGATATTTCTTTGGATCGGTACCTATATTGTAATATTTTGATAGAAAAACACTTTTATTTATTGATTATAAAGAAGCGCACGGCCGGGCCGACACAGCACATGCCCTGCGCTTCGCGATTCGGGTCTTCCCCGAATTGGAGCTAGTGTTGTAGGTTGCACGTTATACTCGAATATTTTTATAACATAATTTTTTTCGTAATAATTATAATATAATTATAGTATTAGAAGTTAAGATCCTCTGTATTCCAAGTCCATATGAACTAATGTATAAAATAAATTTTTTGAAAAGCCTTTTTTATAGGTGCACAATAAAGGTAAATAGTATTTATAAGCAAACTATAGAGCGCGTGTAAGCAAGTCAAAACTTCAACAGAAGTCAGAGTTAATTATTTCTCTCGACGATATTTAATAGAATTTTCAGTTATCATGGTGAAATTTGCAGTGCAAAGTTGCAAAAACAATTCATGGAAGCAAAATAAGAAGAATGATATTTCTTTTCATTGGTTTGTAATATTTCGATAAGAAAACACTGGATTTATCAAAAAAAACATTCCTGTGTGTCGTGGGACACTCAGTTGGAACGAAGTTTCTTTCGTAGTATATTATTATTGATAATGGCATTTTATTATTGATTAACAAATACAAATAAATGGATTACTAGCGTCTATTAAAATGAAGCGTCATTTAAAATAAAATAATATTTAATTCATGGCAAAATAAGAAAAAGTGCGAGGGAGATGGTTATTATCCCATCTGGCTTCCTTATAGCCGCCAGTACCGTCTACAATACGTCTGAAGGGGTCGTGACGGAAAAATCTTACACTTTTTGTCGCGTAGCCCTCATCCGCCAAATCCGTACCATCCGATAAAAAACTTCGTTCCAATTACTTAAGGCGTCAAAGGGTGTAGCGGGTAGGGCGCGGTGGGGTTTAAGAGTTGTAATTATTTCCCTTCACTTTATTAGAGGACTTCGTGATAATGACATTCCTACAAAACTTTTACAAAAACAATCAGTTTTATTACCAGAACTTATTAAAATTGCTACTTCGATAGAATTGGGTAAAACAGAAAACTTAGAAACAAGTAAATGAAAACACACGCCGTGGTCTGATCCTGTACATAAAATATCGTCTAAATCTTCAAATACTCACTTTAAAATATAAATTTAATAGACCTAAATAAATTTCCGATCAACCGATCATCGATCTAATAAATGTGGCAGCTGGCAGCATCGATAATAAATGTCATAGATGTAAACGTAAAGGCCAGATGGCACGAGTAATAAACAGAGACGTGAGACAAACCACGTACCTAAATGAAACTATTATGATTGATGAAAGTTCCTGTGACATATATTTAATTAGTACTGAAATACCCTACAAATACATGATACGACTGATGATTGAAAACGTGGCAGTTTCTATGGAATTTGATTCTGGAGCAGCACTGTTCAAGAACTCACAGAATAAATAGTAATACTAGAACAGAAGGATCACTCCCTGATAGCAAACTTAAGAGTTTAAACCTCGTTACAACGTAGCTAATGTTCATAATACTTTACACGCCTCGGGTGCCACCTTCGTGAAATCAGTCTACGTCGAAACAAAAATTATAGCGGCGTGCGTATTAAATCAAAATGCACCTTAGGTCTGCGTGCGAGTGTCTGTATCACTTAGCCCGCTACGCACCTTTGTTAAGGCCGCCCCTACTGTATGGTTAGATGTTGTGAGAAAACAAGTTGAATCCTTTGATATTAGTCGGTATATAGTAGAATACACCGAGGAAAAAACTTTACCCCACACTAGGATTTTCTCATGTATCGTGGAGGCAGTTTACAAACATAAATTGCACAAGTACAAACATTTAAGACTTAGAACTTATTTGTAGACCATACAAATACTCCGTGCGGGATTCGAACCCACAGCCCCAGCGTTGCAACTTATTGCTAAGCAACTACGCCACGGAGCCGTCAATTTGCTGATAATAAAATCATTATTGTTCAATGTGAGGAAAGTTAATTTATCAAGCGTCGGCCGTATCTGTATGGCGATCTACTTGTCAAAGTTATAGACCCCGCCAAAGAGTATGTAATAAATAGAAGGGACCCCTTAGAACAATAGATACTTCTTCTTCTTCTTAATAACTGGCTTAACGGCGCTGGGATCTAGCCCTTCTGAGCCTGAAGTTACAATATATTATAATAATTATCCTTCATAGTATACTGCTTCACAATATGTTGATGCGTCACATTGTGCAGCCCTTGGGAGATTTTGACGGCAACTTGAGCCAGCAGACAGTTGACGGTTGGCGATGGTATCTCAAGGCGCCTAAGCAGACAGACACCTTATTTTGAGAATCACACCACCATCAGAGCACTTGTTTCACAGTTTCCACTAATAGTTCACATGCGCAGACACTTAATACAAAAAATCGCACCACTTTTATATATCAAAGTCCACTTCAAACCATTATTTAAACAATAATACAGGAGCAGCAAACCGCCGCTGGTCAAGTTCCCGCCAAAAAAAACCGAACAATAGATAAGAGTGTTCAGAAATTAGAGTACAAATAAGCAAGGTATAAGGCGCGCGTATCGTTCAGTGCCCATTATGATTATGCCAAGCGTAACCAGATGTTCTACAGATACTGATACATAGTTGAGAGTGGTTGAATAGTGATGTGCCAAGATCAACGCCTATGCGTTATTGTACTATGATTATATAGGTATAAATATTTGTAAATATTAGGTAAACGATAATTATAAGGTATGTTTTAGCGTTTTTTTATAGGATAGGGTGACAAACGAGCACACAGTCCACCCGATGGTAAGTGGTTGCTGTGGCCCATAGACATCTACATCTATCTTCGTTTGCGAATCAAAATGCAGATGCGTTATCAGCCGTGAGGGCTAAGCTGGAATGCCTCTTTTACAGTAAAAAGGGTCTCCGGTTCTCTACACTCACCAAACGGAACACAGCAGTGTTAAGCTGCTATTTTAGCGAATCCTGGGTTCGCTGCCATATAACAAAGTCGGTACCAACACTGCGTTATGTATTGCAAGGCGTGCACTCTTCGCTACGCCTTGCCTTTTGACTAACGCAGTCAGGGCACCATTGACTTTGTTCCCGGCAGCGACACGCCTGTCCACATCTAAATCACATCTTCCATCCCGGCTAAAAGCACTCACCAAGTATACAATTTCATTTACCTGGTCTAGACATTCCTGATTTACCCATATTTCACACTTCGTTCTCTCTTCGTCCCTTTCAAATACCAGAACCTTAGTTTTATTAGCATTCAAACGGAGACCTTTAATTTCACATTCCTCTTTCATACACGTGACTAATGCCTGCAGTTCTGCCTCTGATGGTGCAATAAGCACTGCATCATCAGCATGCAGCAGACAATTTACTTTTATGTCACCCAATTTCACACCCAAACAGCTATCTTTCAGCTTCTGTAAACAGCTGTCGAGATACAGTATGAACACCCAGGAGGACATGACACAACCCTGCTTTACGCCCGTTTGGACGTTAAACATGGGTGACAGGTCATGCCCTACCCGCACACAGGCTTTACAGTCACAGTAAAGAGACTGCACAGCCCTTAGCAATCGACCATCCACACCATACCCCGGCAACAGTTCCCACATTTTCTTCCTTACAACGTTATCAAATGCTTTCTCAAGATCCACAAAAGCACAGAAAATCTTCTGGTTAGCAGCCAGAAGCTTTTCCGTGATCATGCGGAGAGAAAACATTTGATCCGTGCATCCTCTTCCAGGTCTAAATCCGCATTGTGCCTCCCATAGAAATCTTTCCGATTTCTCTTGCATCCTACGTGTCAAAACCTTCGAGTAAACTTTACTTGCTAAACTGGTCAAGCTGATCGCCCGATAGCACCCGCAGTCAAAATGTGAACCTTTACCTTTATATAAAGGCACAATGACTGCGGATCGCCAATCATCCGGGACATCCCCCGTCAGCACAAATTGCACAGCAGACGGAAGCTGTCCCAGACGCGAGGCCCACCATACTTGACCATTTCAGCAGTAACTCTGTCTAGTCCCGCAGCCTTACCACATTTCAAACTTCGAATCGCATGTTCAATCTCTTTCATACTGATGACCTCAGTGTCATCGAGGTCCGGGTCTGGCGTACCAGTCACGGCGTCATCCCCGAATCCCTCACTAAGATCATCACACGCATACATTTCTCTATAAAATTCGCTCCATCGCTGCATGACGTCCTATTTTTCTGAGAGGTCGTCATTAGTTCTCGAAAGCGCTTTGTTCATTCTTAAGGCCGTCGCACCACTTCGGGTCCTTCCAACCTCTTTCCAGAACAGTTTGGAGTTCTCCTTAAAGTTGTGCGACAACCTTTCGTCCGCTTCCATTCTACACCTTTCACGCACTTCCTCAATCAGTGCTTTCGTGT